TGCAACTGTAAAGGAAGTCAGAAAGATTAATGAGGTTTCCTATTAGAATATTAGATAAAAGGTAGCAAAGTTTAGAAAGTTGACTTTTTATTTGACATATGTCCTGTCATATAATGTATTTTAATCATTGAAGTTTAGGCATTGTTTTGCATTTATTTTAAAACGTACTTTTTATTTGGTTCTAAGAAGCTTTTAAAAAAGAACTCACTGTTGAAATAAAGGCCATGAAAATAAAAATCAAATATTTACTCTATGAATTGAAAATGAGATCATTTGTAATTAAGGATAGAAGAGAATGTAAGTGACAAAATCATTAGCGTAAAAGACTCAGTGCAGAAATGTCTAGTAAGTGAAACTACAGTTTTTCTCCCCTTAAGCTGATCAAAAAGATTGACTATGGAGATTGTCACTTTAAGATTAGTTACCCAGGACCTTTGAGCCTACCTTTACTTGTAATCATATATTAAAAAAAATCATACAAGTAAGAATTTCTAACTGTAAATCACCTAGCCCCCAAATAGGCAAACAGAATTTATTATAATTTCTACATAAATATAAGGAAAATTCCCACGAGACCTCTCTTTCCTTCTTAGAGTATCTAAAAAGATTAACAATGAGATATGAGTGGGAAAGCTTCAGTTTGATCTAGTTATTGAGTTCAGTTACATAAACAAAACAAAACAAATCATTAACACAGTTTTCAGCAACATTTTTATATTTTTAATCCTTTTCCCAAATTGAGACCTGTCTTATAATCAATGCATGCTCTGAAAATTGTTACTAAATCATGTCTTACTGGCAATAGTATTTTAGAATTGAGGCACTTATAAGAATAAATATTTCTGTTTTACCAGAAGCACTTTGCATCCGGAAGCAATTTTGTTTGGGAGGTCTGTTTTTAGATTCTCCTCCTCAGAATACCACTTGAAATAAATGTTCTTTAAGAGAAAGCATACGAATCAAATAATAATGTCTACAGGGACAACTATGGTTAATTAGAGCCACTGTATTTTGTATGTGATCTTATATACCAATCTTGACCTCTGATTTCTGTTAAAAACTGTAGTATGTTCTCAGGGAAGAAAAATAACTTTGCTCACTCTCTTCTTCCACCCTATGAAAACCAAGATCAGTGGAGAAGCAGCACTAAGAGAGCTCTTTTTCAAAAGTGCCCTTCCCCTCTTCCACAGAGAAGTGTCTTTTCTGGAGGCACAGCATGCAGCTGGCTTATGAAAACTCATTTCTCCTGGTGAGAATGTATATACAGATAATACTAGAATTACATGTTGCAAAGACAATGGAACATTCTAGGAAAAAATAATATTTGACCCACATGTTCAGGCAGGAAGGATAGGAGGAAATTGAGACAATTACCTGCTATGAAAGGGTTGAAGTCAAAAGCCTTAGAAAGTAATTCCCTTTTGAATTTGTTGGCTATGTGCAAATTCTTAACTAAGTCTTTTGAATTTTTCTGCCTGGACTTATTTTGCAATTTAAAAAATTTTGTAATATGCAATTATGAATCTCAGTCATTGTATTTTAATTTTTCTCTACCAGTAGTACCCTCTTACATGCCTTCTGCCAATCCAAACCTTGTATCTTTCAACTATCAAAATGAATTCTTTCTTTTACCTACATCTTCCCTCATCATTCACTGCACTTTAAATTCTTGCTCTTTGCGATTTCTTCAGTGTTTGTTGACAGATTCGGTGCAGTAAATGTTGCCCTAAAAGGCAAGGGCTGGGATACCAGTCCCATTTCTGTTACTCACCTGGTGTTTTTATTTAAATCACTTTTTTTGTCTATTTACTTACCTATTTATCTGTCCATTTGTATGTTCTTCCATCATCTTTCTGTCTGCCTGCATATTCTGAGTTCCCTAGCTTTTCATTTATAGTGAGAAAACGTGTTATATTAAAAAGATTGAATTTTTTGATTTAACAGTGCTGTGGAAAGCCATTATAAACTTATGACATTCTTATTTCTATCTATACTAATTGTTTTGAGACTTACTTTTAAGATTTCATGTTATTTTTTCCATCATTTCCCCAATATCAGTTCTCTCTTCCCAAAGAAAATAGGTATCAGAGAAAGAAATATCTTTTTCTTCTATACAACCCACTCTGCCATGAATGTGGTATAGTTAGTTAACAAAAATATGATTTTTCTTTCTATCTTGTGTTTTTCAAACATCTGTCAATGGCCAATGTTTTCTTTGGCTAAATGGGGAGAATGTATCTTTTGGTCATCCAATTGATTAAAATATGTCTTATCATCAAGTGTACTGATTTAAAAGCTGATAACTTCTAAAAAATAATATAATTAAAACTAGTTATAAAATGTGGTGAGCACATATGTGTGTATTATATATTAATATAAATACAGGCTGCTGTAGTAGTTTGGAAGTGGTCCCTCAAATTTCTTATATTAGAGACTGAGTCTTCAGAATCATATGGAAATGCTATTTGGTGTGTGTGAAGGTCTTTGGGGAGTAATTAAGATTAAATGAGGTCTTGAGGGTGAGGTCTGTATGGGCAGTTAGTGTATTTATAAGAAAGAAGAGAAAGAGAGACCTGAGCCAGCAAGCTGGCTAGCTTTTGCAGTGTGATGCCCCATGCTGCCTCAGGACTCCAGAGTCCCCAGCAGTTCTTACCAGATGTGGCCCCTCATCCTTGACTCCCAGAACCACGAGCCAAAATAAACCTCTTTTCTTTGTAATGTATCCAGTTTGTAGTATTGTGCCACCAGCAACAGAAACTAATACAAAGACCTTGTGATATTATATGTCTTTTAGTGTCTTTCTTTCATGGCATAAGAACCCTCTTTACATTAGCTGAAGTTGCCTCCAGATGGAAGTTACTCAGTAGACCTAGGTCTCAGGTTTGGAACGTCCTTGCAATAGCTATGTACCGGGTTTCTCAGCCTTTTGCAGTGGAGTTTCCTCCTGTGTCATACAGATCTGATATCACTTCATTGGCTTGTCCAAATGAGTTAATTGTGAATGAGAGAGTCTGCATGACTGTTTTGGTGCTCAGAATGAGGTTAATTCTCAGCAAATGCCTTCTTGATTCTGAATTTTCTTCAAATGCTTTCATGTTTTTGGTGGAGAAATATTTCCTCTCAGCTCTTATAAGCAAGCTTCTCTGCTTGTAGCACAATACACACAAGTGTGGCACAGAGTCTAGTCTGCTGTCTGTACATTCTCCCTGCCCATAATGTTCTTTCCTACTAAGATGTATTTTACTTTCCCTCACTAAGTAACTTGATGTCATCTTCTTGAAACCTCCCCAGAACATTATACCTCAGCACTTATGGGAAGTGAAATATATTTGTACATCTATCTGTGGTCTGCTTCCATATTTTTACTTTAATTTTTTGCCTTTTAATGTCCTTGCTTCTCATTTTGTATTTTGAATCTGGTGAACTACAATGAATGTGTTGTGTTCTTAAATTCTTTGTGTGGTCTATTCTAAGATCTGAGATAGAAATTCCATGTGTTGTTGGTTGCCTTTGAAAGTAGAAACCATATTTTGATTTTGACTCACTAAGCTTAGCACATTTGGGGCCATCACTGATCTAACAATAAGGAATTGTATTTTTTCATGAAGGGTGAGATCCATTGATCTAACAAGTACAATCTGGTCATTTGGGAGAAATGATTCCTATGGGGATTGGGGGGTTTTCAGAGCAGTTTGAAAAAAAATGATTGGAAATCAGTTTGGAAGGAGGTCTAGAGAAGACTGTGAAGTGATCTGTCTGAATGAAAGAAGCAGCGACTATAGGGCGTATTTATTCTGTATTACAGATGAAACGTTAGTCTGGCCATTGCGTAAGTGATGCAGCCTGATATTTTAGCATCATTTTATTAAAATGGAATTAGCCTCCTGTTTGGAGAGAATATTCCTTTCATTTATCTGGGAATTATACAGCAATCAGAAAAGATGTTCCCTTTCTTTGTAATCTTTTCCTCCCTAAAAATAGAATGAATTCTGCATTTCTAAAGTGGAGATTCTGCTTTTAAACAGTAGTTTGCATAAACAACAATAACAAATTTTAAACTTTCTCCTTTTTAAATAAAAATAACAAATCTTTATATAAACCAATGAGATAATAGGGAATAGAAAGAAAACTACAATAATCTCCTGAAGTCCCATTATAGGGACCCATTCCAGCATTTTTATTTACAATGGACCAACCAGAGAAGTTTCTGGAATGAGAGAGTTGGAAAGGCCATGGATGCGCTGGTGCCCAGAAGAACCAGCTATGAAAGGAGAGAAAATCAGGGGCTCTAGACGACCTTGAACTCTGAAATAAGAAGGATTGCCAATCTTTGTATAACTGTATGTTTTCAGGAACAAGATCATGGTATACAAGTTGTTTCGTGACTTGCTGTTTTTCTTTATTATGAGCATCACTCCGTACGATTAAATAATTTTCTAAAGCATCTCTAGACACTTAAAGTATTACACTTAAAGTATTACAGTTAAAGTATTCTTTGTTTGTTTCCTAATGTTTTAAACCAATCCCCTTTGTTGAATATTTAGGTAGATTTATGTCTCTTAAAAATAGTAAACTATGCAGAAATGAAAATATCTGTAGATAAATCTATGTTCAGTCATGATGATTTCCATAGGACAAATATCTAAAAATGATATTGTAGTGTGAAAGCAAATGTATATTTAAAAATTTTTTGATACATATGATCCTGCCCAGCTATGAACTCAAGCACTATTTATGAAAATGTGTATTTTTCTACATATTTTCCCAGAACACAATTGATTTACCTCTGTAAATATTAGTGGATTGATGTCATTATATGCACACATATATTCATACTTATGTGTATATATAAATGTATGGTATTTGTATTAATTTTTACTGTAATAATTACTTATAGAATATACTTTTTCTTATCAATACATTAACCTGTTATGGCCAATGAGTCTGCAAACATATTTCTGATGTGTCTGCTTCTAAATGTCACTGTCTTTATTTCCCAGGTGCCTGCATGAACATCACCCACAGCCAATGTCAGATGTTGCCCTACCACACCACACCCACATCTCTAATCTCAACCATTGAAAACATAGAAACAGAGAAGTTCCTCAAGTTCTTCACCTACCTCCATCGCCTCAGTTGCTATAAATATATTATGCTATTTGGCTGTAGTCTCGCCTTCCCTGAGTGCATCATTGATGGTGATGACAGGTATTTGGAACCAAAATCATTCCATGATTAAGAATCCATTTGGAATCTGGGGACAAATGTCCAAGAAGAACACAATAATCCTGTTACCATCTTTTATTTTTGTTGGCATTGAATGAGAAAAAGACTCCCATTATTCATAACCAGTTGTAATTCTTTTTTTTTAAATTAATTTTATTGGTACATTTAAGGTATACAATATAATGACATTCATCATTGGGATCCTGTACCTTTATATGATGTATCTTGGTTCTTATTTTTTCCCCATTCCCCTGCCCTCCTTTCAACCCCTCCACTCCTCCCTATCTAAAAAGAGAATGTCCATTTTTTTCTTTTATTCATATTAATTCCATTCCTTTCTTTCTTTTCCCCTACCCCTCCAACCTCCCCTTCCCCTTTGCACCTTTTCTTTCTCTTTCACATTATCTATTATAC